AAACTTTAAAAAATTCGCGTTGAATTTTTTAAAATTATTTAATTTAATTAAAGTGTTGCTGATCGAGCCAGGGCCAGAACCCGGTCTGGTCGTCCACGCCACAGAACATGTTGCATAGGCTCTCTTCCTTAGTATTATTGTTATTGTTATTGCTATTGTGCCCCTCCATTTTGGGGCATTGCATATCGGCCGTTGAAGTATCGTGAAATAGCTGCTGGGCCACGGGGCCGGGCCTAAGTGCCGGGGGAAAGAGGGACCTATCTGCAATATTGGGGTTTGTTTGGGGTGACGATGGGCTGTCGATGGCGGGGTTTGTGAGCTTCATTTCCGAGCTGTTTTCGCTGCGGTTGCTCGACGATCCTTCGGTTTCTTTGTTTAGGTTTATCGACTCGGTTGGCTCTCTTGTTTTCAATGCCAAAATCTACAAATAAATAAATAAATAAATAAAATTGTGTGAGACAGTTTAACCATCAACGCTAAAATTGACTCAATTTAATAACAATGCCAATCACCAACGGTTAATTTTTTAGTAACAAATTCTTATGTGAAATAATTTAACAGTTGGACGTGACCTGCCATATTTTTTAAACTATAATGCATACTAATTTTATGAACCATCGTACTTTTATTTATGTTGTATTTCTAACTTAGAACATTTAGATTTAAAATATGGATATCTATCTGAAAAATACAACTAATTACTAACCATTTGGTTTGTCTATATATATAAATCATGTGATTAGTGTATGTATAACATATACATTGTGAAAATAAATCAAGTGGTCTAACTTAACTTATTTAGGAAAAATTAGGACAAAAAANAAACTCCCCCAAACCAAATTCCGTATTGACCATCACCATCTCCAATTTTAGTCAAAATCCCTAAAAATACTTCCAATTATAATCGTCCAACACAAATTTACCACTATGCTCCCATGACAATTGACATGACATTCAATCATCACCCTAGCGATTACCACAGTAAAAAAAAATCACCAAATGTAATTACTCAATTTAGTTATTATTATTATTGACCTGGGCATGGAGCTTTTGGTTGTGCGCGTGGAGCGCGTGGTTTTCAGCCTTAACCCCTTCAAACTGCCTCTTGAGCAGCTCATAGTCTTTTTCGAGCTGTTTCGTTTTCCAGCGGGCCCGCCGGTTTTGAAACCATATGGCGACTTGTCTGGGCTGGAGCCCGAGGGCCCGCGCCAGCTGCATTTTCCTCTCGGGCTCAAGCTTGTTCCCGAGCTCGAAATTCTTCTCCAATGTCTTCACTTGCTCCGTGTTGAGCCGCCTCTTCTTCTCCCCGCCGCCTGCGTGGCAACCCTCGTCATCCGACACGTCATCCGATCCACCGTGGTTCGCCATGTCATCGTGGCAGCTGTCCAGCCCGGCCGAGTACGCCATAGAGGATCTTTTCCCTAGCAATGGACCCATCCCTGTATATAGTAAAGTAGTAATTAGTTTGTGGATTTTTTTTATGTTTTATTTTTTTTGGATATGTTATGGTGAAAGTGGAAGTTGAAACCCTTCTATTTCCATGATCCAATTGATAAATACCATAAAAATAAATAATGGAATAACCGAATAAGTATCAAAATTGACAATTTCGCTGTGGAGCCAATAGTTGGCTCCGTAGTAAGTAAAAAGATCATTTTTTTTTTTTCAATTATTTAAAAAATCAATTAAGCTGTTTTTTTAATTGGTAATCTTACTTGCTTTGTTGACTCTAGAGTCAATTGTTTCGTTCCATAGAAAAACTATCAAAATTGATTTTCAAATTGAAGTGATCACCTTCTTTGTCTAAATTGGAATTAATTGATTTTTATTTTTTTTTCAATATTCATCATTACTCTCAAAAAGTTATATCCAAACTCCAAAGTACGATATTTGTGTTCTTTT